TCTTCATTAAAATCATTACTATGTATTGAAAGATTATGATTGTCAATACACCATCCAGATAGCATAACTCTTAATTTCGGATCCGTCATGATATTAGTAAATATTGTACTTTGCCACTCTTGATTGTCTGATCCACCATTGATTAAATATCTTAAAGTCTGTAAAGTGTTTATTTGCCGTAATAAAGTAAGTTCAAGATTATGCTTATTAGTATGTGGTACAATTCCTTTGAATATACGATGGACCATCTCTTTGATTCCAACTGCCATATTTACACAAGTTCCATAATTTTGTGCATGATTAACAAGATGACGATTGATATGAAGATTAGGTAAATTTTCAAAGCTTGCTGGAAACATCTAAATATTTAAATAAATTATTATTATTAAAAACTAGTTAATTAATGATAAATATAATACTTACTTCAAGAAGAGCGCATTGTTCATCATTTAATGCTTGAGATAAATTATCATAATATTTTGTTCTTGAAATTATATTAGAAAATATTTCTTTTGATGTTTTTGCAACAAAAGCCCAAGTTTTTATTAATTTTTTAATCACATCATTTAAACGAGATAAACCAAGTCTTTCTTTAGTTGTTGTAAGGTATTCTTTTTTGATAGCATCTAAATGTAAACATCGTTGAAGAATAAATGGTAAAATCATTAATAATCGTAAAATATCTGACATCATAAAGCTATGTCGATGTGTAATTGGATTTGGTAATTGTGACCACTTTTTTGGAGTTTCAAATGCTTTCCAATATTGAATTATATCTGATTCTCCTTGTGAAGTAAAAATTGAACATGTACAATCTAAAAGTCGTGCAACTTTTCCTGCAACTGCATGATAAGGATCTTGTGGTGTATGAAGATGTCGATCATGAAGAAATGGATCTAAAGGACCAGGATATAATCGCAATCCCAGTTCTGTACTGCGTTTTGTACGAGCACTATTAGAATTAAGTTTTTGAATTTCTTTAAATTGATTATTAGTTATTTGATGATAACGACTATTTAAAATAATATCAAAAGAAATATCTGTTAAATTTTCTTTTGCTGCATAACATGTTCGACATCCATACTTAGCATTATGACGAAGAATTCCAGCAATATCATTGACTTGAGGAAGATCTGTTGTAATTATACCTAAACCTCCTATTAACCAATATTTTTTGTTATTGATTACTATCATAAAACCTTGTTCAAGTTGATTGATTTCTTCAAGAAATGGTTTAATAAAGTCATGAATATCAGTACCAAAAGGTACTAATCCAATAATAAAATGATTTCGTAGTTGTTTTCGTAATTTTCGTGGCATATTTCCAATTTGTAAATATACACCTCCAAGTGAATGATAGGTATTCCGAAATGTTCCAAAGTCATCATAATATAATCTAAAAAAAACTTAAGAATAGGCATTTCAGATGGTGGATCTTGAAATGATAAATATTCAGTTGGATGTTGATGACGAAGATTAATAGTACGGATTTTCCATCGATTATTAAATTTGTATATAATTTCAGCAACTGAAAAATCATATCTTAATGGTGAAACATTATCTTCAAGCCATATTATACAATGATCAATAAGATATGTAATATCAATAAATAGTAATGTTGACTCTTCAAGTAACCAAAGTTTTTGATTAGCATTTAAAAATCGATCTTGTGACTTAAGATGTGAAGGAATTTCATTAAAAGATAATAAACGTTGAATCCGAACCTTTAAAATACCTTTTACTATAATAAATGATCTAATCCGACCATATTTAATATTATGATTTAAGGTATAATAGCGAATAAAATCACCACTTGCAAATTCACCTTTTGTTGTATTAATTTTTGATTGACAAATAAAGGTGACTCAGCCCAAAGATCTCCATGCCAAAATTCTTCACATGTTTCATTATAAACTCCTGGTCCAAAATATAATTTTGAATTAATAATAGGATTTTGTAATATTCTTTTTAAATGTTCAATAAGTGAAAAATAATAGGCTTGAGTTGTTTCTTTGGTAGTAGAAGGAGTTTTATGAATTTTTACTGGCACTTTATGACTTCGTATTTCCATTAATGGTAATTTTTCACGATATTTTTTGAGTTTTTGTAAATTAGAACATAATTCATTAACTTCAAATAGAGGATGTTTAAGAATTTGAATAAGATCTCGATAAGCAGTGGTTGCTAAAATAAATTACAAACAATTAAATAATAATTTATATTTTATAAAAATATAAAGAAATTACTTACAAATCATATATTTTGTTATCCATATAAAAAAAGCCATTATTGTAAATGATTTAAAAGGTTCAAATTCTGAATTATCTTCATTTGAAAAAAAATACTTTTGGCCATTAAATATTCTTGGATTTTCTTGTTCAGGTTCATAGTTTTCTTGTTCAATTTCATTTTCTTGATCGGATTTATAGATTTCTTGTTCAGATTCATAATTCTCTTGTTCAATTTCATTTTCTTGTTCAGATTTATAGATTTCTTGTTCAGATTCATAATTCTCTTGTTCAATTTCATTTTCTTGTTCATATTCATAGTTCTCTTGTTCAATTTCATTTTCTTGCTCGAATTCATAGATTTCTTGTTCAAACTCATAATTTTTTTGTCCAAGTTCATTTTCTTGTTTATAATCTTGAGTATTAAAA